TTCAATGCTAGTTTTAGATGCATTGCCCCATATTGTAAGACAATAGTTTATTGAAGGCAAAATATATGCATTATAAAAAAGTTTTCTGGTATTTAATGGAAGAAATTTCTTAATTTTACGGAGTGTAAATAACTTGTATGTTAAGGATTTACAAACTGAATCTACATGATAATTATAATGAAGATTTTGATCTATATAGACACCTAAGAGTTTTTCAACATTGACATTTTCAAGCATTTCTCCAGAAATTTCTGTATTAAGTTCTGGAATATCTAATTTTGACCTTTTTTGTTGTGTACACATAAGCATAGATTTTGATTTGTTCGTGTTCAGAATCATTTGGTTCTGTAAACACCAGTTTTCAATTTCGCATAAATCATAATTCAAAAATGTTTCAATATTATGTACATTGTTATCAGATAAATGCAGAGTTGCATCATCTGCAAACATATCAATATTACAGTGATTGACACATAGGGGGAGGTCATTTATGTACAATAAAAATAGCAATGGACCTAAAATAGATCCCTGGGGCACCCCTGCTGTGATAGGTAAGATATCAGAAGAACATGCACCAATTTTAACACTTTGGGTTCTTTCATTTAAATAAGACTGAAACCATTTAATTGTAAGTGAATCAAAGTTATAGTACCTCAATTTCTCAATTAAGAGATCATGACTGACTAAATCAAATGCTTTACTGAAATCTAGAAATGCTATGCCAGTGAGATTCCCTTGATCCATTGCATGCAACCAGCTGTCAGTAAGTTTGGTTAGTGCCGTTTGGCAAGAATGGAATTCCCTAAAGCCACTCTGTGAGTTTGTAATGAGGTCAAAAGCTCTGGTGAATTCACGTACTTGATTAGCAACATGTTTTTCAAAAATTTTTGATAAAGTCGGTAAGATTGATATTGGTCTGTAATTACTTGGATCATTTTTATCGCCCTTTTTATATATAGGGGTGACTTTAGCTTGTTTCAGATGCAAAGGAAAGATGCCATTAGTAATGCTAGTATTAATTAGATGAGTTATAGGCTTAGAAATTATATCAGCAGAGAGTCTTAAGAGGCGGGGACCAATGAAATCTATACCTGCCGATTTATTAATGTCAAGTTTGCATAGCATTGAGAAGACCTCGTCTTGTCTTATAGGAAGTAAGCTAAATACATTTTCATCATTAAGTTTTGACTTTGTGAATTCTTTCAACTTTTCTGGTTTAAAGTTACGCTTTGGTAATTCATTTAATAAATTGCTAGAAATTTTTGTAAAGTGTTCATTAAAAACATTGACAATACCTTGTGTATCGTTAATTTCTGATCCGTTGTCCTTAATATGAGTAGGAAAAAAATATTTTGGCTTTGAGGATAAATGGTTCAGATAGCTCCAGAGTTCTTTAGGATTAGAGCTCTCCTCAATAGCTGATTTATAATAAGTACATTTAGCATTATTAATCAAAAGCGTAACTTTATTCCTCCAATGTCGAAAATTTTCAAAGTCTTTGTGTTGATGATAGTAATCTCGTAATTGTCTAGCATCATTAATTTCTTGTGTTAACCATTTTGGACGAGACTCAGTTTTCACACGTTTAGTCTTTACTTTAGCGTGACTATTTAGAATAGTATTAAACATATTGTAAAAGTTCGCTAAGATATCGTTAGGATTGTCCAAATTCGTAAGGGCATCAAAGTTGACACTTTTTAAATCGGAAAGAAATTTTTCTTCATTAAAATTCTTAAAGTCGCGGTATTGAATTTCAGTGTGTTTTCCCTTACGCTGCATGCTGTTAGATCTGCGTGTTGCACAAACAGGGTAATGGTCAGACATAGCTATGGGTGGTACTTGGATTTCACAGATGAGGTCAGGTTGGGTAGTGTAGAAATGATCAATAAGGGTAGATGAGGCCATCAACTCGTAAAAATCAGAATCTCTTATTGAGCCTACCGTATCCGCTGACCAAAATTGGAATACTTTTTTCTGACACTTTTTCAGAAAGCTTTTTCATTATATCTGAATGGTCCATGGTTCTTGAGAAATTTTATCAAAACATTTAATGGCCACAACTTTTCATTTTTTTTAAATTATCTTTAAGGTCAAGATCTAGTAAATGATTTCAGTCTAACCTTTTGGTGCTAGATCCATTATGACGTCATTAACTTTTTCAACTTTCTTTTTCCCATACTTTACGGCTCTAATAGAATTATGTAAAAAATAAGGTATTTTCATGGAAATAAATTTGAAATCATATGAAAAATAATCCCGATACCTATATTGAATTTGATATAATTTTAAAGAAGAGGCCAAAATCATACAAATTACCATTTAGTGAATGACTGTAGGCAATTTTGATACATTTTTTTGTCTGATATTGAAAAAAAAACCCATATTCATGACTGGTTTTCTTAATTTTCTATTAAAAATAAGTTGAATATATCTTCTTATTTATCTAACATCTTATTTATCTAACAGGTATGCCTTGAAAAACCATATTTGACTAAGCAAATCTGATAAAGCATCATGAAAGAAATTTTTTTTCTCAGATTAGATAAATCTGTAGGCACCTTTAATTCACTAGATCTTGACTTTAAACTAAGTAAAACTGGAGATTCAAGAAATCTTTCTGGCAAAAAACCTGTCTGTACAAATTTGATTTAATTTATTACATTGAGATTTGACAGTGCCTGTATTCTCAAAAAAAAATTCATTCGTTTTTCAGAATAATTTTGTCTCAATTTTCATCTATTGTTAAGTGCAGACGTCCTATGTGTACTTACAGTGATTGTTCAATGAAAAATGTGTAATAAATTATTAATTCAGGTGGGGTTCTCAAAGTGACTCCATACAACACTGTACTGTACCCGGTAGTACAAAGTATCTTTAATATTTTAATACATTGAAATATTAAAAATTCCTGATTTGTTAACTTATAATTAGTCAAAAAAATACTCATTTAAGTATTAATGCAAGTGGGTCTATTTAAGCGATGCCCTGATGAAGTTTTAACCTACACTATAAAATATGTACCCATAAAAAAAATTATTTATGTTATAAGATTGAGAAAATGAAAATTCCTTCAATTTCAAAAGAAACATTTTATTCGTTCATCAAATTTTGGTTTCCCTCTGTTATTACCTGCAGTGATCTATTTCAAACTTGCAAAATTACTCAATCAAATCTTTAATAAATTTGTGAAGCTCTATACTATTGTCATTTTCTAATTATAATGGTTATGATGCAATGATTAAAATGTTTCACATTTAGTACGAGTCAGAAAATCCATAAAATGTATGGTGATTGATCAAACTGATAAAAAAAAATAAATAAATGACAGAATTTTTGAGAAATTTTTCACAATTATTCAATTTTCCAACTAATGCAAGAGAGGCAACGTTTTCTTAATGTATATTTTTATGCAATAAGGTGTCTATACTGTATTCTGCGTGTTTTTGCTAATCTTTCAACACTACACTTTGATCAATACTCCAAAATAATTTCAAATCAACTGATATTTATAAAGTTTCCCTGTAGACAAATACGCTTCTACGCGTCACCAGTCCTTTATTGTTAAGTATAGTTTTCACTAATTACAACTCAATAATCAGACATTCTTTTAAAACAGTTTTTTACCTGAGCTGTTCTTTTTTTCTTTCTTTCTTTGTGAAAAGGTTAAATAAGATGAAAGTAAAAATCGTTTATCAAATACTTACGTTAAAAATAATCAACTTTTATAATTAAATGAAAAGATGAAAAAAAGTGTGGGATGATGGGTTGTAAATTTACATGAAAACAGTATTTCCCAGAGGAAAACTGACAACTTAATGAAATAATACAAGTAAACAAACAATAAACGAAGTGCATTTTGTTACATTAGGTTACATTTAGGAAAACACCATTTGTAACGCAAAAAATATAGGCGGAGTAATAATGAATATAACTTGAAAATACGCCTTGACAGTTAAACTAAATACATAGCAAATCTTAACTTGAAATACACTCATTGCTTTTGTCTTAACTTTTATTCCAACTTAAATAAGTGCCACAATTACTAGTATCTTATTCAGTTTCATTCTACACAAATATCAGGGTTTTTTTCCTTTGAAATATACTTGATTTTATAATATGCTCTTTTCTTATTTCATATTTGTCCTTAGTAAATAGTTTTATAATCATTAAATGTGAAAAATAATATTTATTGCATTTATTGCAAATATAAAATAATTGCTAACCTGTTGATATTCCAATAAGTGACACAGCTGCTAAATAGATTAGTTTGCATGCTGTGCTTCTAAGTCCGTTAATTATTATTCTCCTTATATATGTAAACAGCGCCTTAAATCAGTAACTCTTACTAGACACAACTTATTATACCACCTGTTAAATATCAAAATTAATTTAATGCTTTGGTAAAGTTCAATGATATATCGAGTCTTAATTTGAAAAAAAGTAATGTTTGCTAATTGATAAAACGTTGTCAATTTTACTTAATATTGGGTTGAAGTTCCGAACACGATAATTTTTCCTCGTGTAGAAGATTTCGATTAAATTCTACTGGAAAGCCTGGTCTCGGAAAACAACATTGATTTTGTCGAAAGAGGGCGCCATATTTCAGCTCCTGAGTATTTTGATTGTAGAAGAATGATATGGGGATAACGATTGTATATTGTTGAACGTCTCTCGATAGAATTTTTCACTCATATGGAGACGTCACCGTATGCCGGTGAAGGGCTTCAAATTTTGACCTTTACTCGGCACTCAGGGCCATTGAGCAGTGAGGGATCTTTATCGTGCCAACGCCAGCCGCTGACATATCGGTTTTTAAGGTCTCATGAAGGACCCTGAGAGATAATGAATTTGTTTGATAAAATTTTGATTTTATTACTATTGTATGGAGATAACGAATAGTATTCAAAATCAAAATCATTAAACAATACAAAATACGAGCAGATTAAAACGGACCTGGAAAATCAGAGGTGGGATCTAGGTGAAAACAACATTGACTGACCGGTCACACCCGCCGTGTGCTCATTGTCATGATCGTGAAATAACGGGAAAATCCGGTAGAAATAGAGGTATTTGCTGATGAATCACAGACATTTCTGGGTTCCATTTTTGTAATTTTTTTTATAATTTTAATTTGAAAGAACGAGTACTTCCTCGATAAACTGGTTTCCTGCCTTGTGACGATAATGGATGAGTTTACCATGTTAAATCCCCATAGACTTTGAATTTGCCGCCTTGTATATACACTGGTTGACCTCGAGGGTTCAATAAATGCAGGAAGATTGCGTAAAATTATCTAACGATTTGACTTGGACTGAAAGCCAAGCTATTTATATATTTTGAGGTATTATTGTCAGCTAAAAACGATACTGATTTAAAATTTCCTTCCCGAAACTGATGTTGAGTTCCTGCTGAGCGATTGTCCATTTTGTCTATCATCCTTGGAGATAGTTTGGGTCCTGCTGAGCGGTCGTCCATTTTGTTTATCATCCATGGAGATGGATTGACTCCTTTGTGATTCCTGTTTCTGTATTAAAAGTTTAAAACAAGATGAGAGTTACCAATTTTAAAAATCGGGAAAGTGGCGATGTAAGACAAACAATTAGCGATTGAACTAACCTGTCTGTATATCACAATGAATGTGTAAATGAATGGATTCAATGCTGAATTAAGGGGCAGTACCAGAACAACGACCCAGGCATAAACATCGAACGTTATCTCCATCCCGCCGTATGCCATGATTCCTGAAAACAAAAATGAAGTTTAATTCAATGGACACTCATTGCTTATTTTAGTGTTTTTTATCTTTTCATATGCAATTCATTGTAAAGATTTGGACTATGTACTGACATTTTTTCACGCAAAATTAAAAACTTCTGTTAATATGACTTTAAGCATTTGCATGGTGGTGGTATTTTCTAAAGGGTTACTATTTTCCAAAAGTGAAAGTATAAACCTTTTTATTTAAAAATTTCTCACCAATCAATATTATAGGGATCCAGCAGCACATGTCCGACAAAACGACATAAGAAAGAGATTTTAACACAGCAATTTCTCTCTTCCTGTTGTCTTGTTGTAAGGCACTTCCAATGACCTTCACCTCGACAAATATCAAAATCTGTCCAACCACTATAGCAATGAATATCATTAAGTTAAATCCTATAAAAACAAAGGTTGCATATTCCCATCCAGCTACTCGCTCAGCTGTTAACGGGAGAGAGATACAAACTGTAGATCTGCTATAGAAGTCTGGGTAAACTGAGATAGGAAACGCTGCTAAAAAGATGGTCATAAGCCATACTATTACTGAAATCACAGATTTATGTTTCTTCTTTTTTAGGAAATCGGTTGAAAATGGATATTTTAAGGCTAGAAATCGTTCCAAAGTTATTAAAAATACAAAAAGCACTGATGCTTCACACGAAACTGTTGCAAGTAAGCCAGCCACAGTACAGGTTGTGCTAGACCTCCACTGACTGTCGTTAAAACCATACTCATTACGGTATTTCATGTCTGCCACAGCAATAATGAACAAGTAAACTCCCATTAATAAATCGGAAAAGCTTAGGTTTAAAATTAAAATTCCGTGTGCATTATTCCTTCCTTTGCTGGTATTTCTCATGCGGTAATATATAACATAAAGGTTCCCGATGAAGGAGAAAAGAGCCACGTACCATATCATCTGGGCCAAAAACCCAACACTGATCAACTGCTCGCAGGTCGAGATGCGGTCTCGCGGAGAAATACATTTTGATGCTGCAACAGACAATGGTTTGGCACAACAAATAATATAAGAATCTGTCCATATCCATTCAAGGTTACAAAGACCCTGAAACATAGCTCGGGACACTTGTAAATTGTTTTTGTTAATATATAGATATTTAACTTCTTCTAGTCTTCTAAAGGCGTTACTCTCCAATGCTGTCATGTCATTGTTTGATAAATCCAATATCTGAAGTTTAACCAAAGCGACGAATCTTGCAGGAGAAAGTGTTCTTAACTGGTTTCCTGTGAGGTTTAATTTGGTGAGTGATACCATGTTCTCAAAAGCCATTTTGTTAATTGTGTGGATTTTATTGAAAGCAAGATTAAGTTTTTGTAAAGATGCCAGTGTAGAAAATGAAAAATCATTTAAAATTTGTATCTGGTTGTTTTGTAAATTAAGATATCCCAGTCTCCTCAAACCTGAAAACATGTTATCTGTGATGTTACTAATAGAATTAAAACTCAGGTCTACTTCAACCAGCATTTCCATTGATCTTGAAAAATAGTCATCAGTATTTGTGATGGCGTTGTTACTCAATAATAAATTTGATAAGGAACTTAGCCAGTGCAGTGCTTTTGGAAAAATTGTTTTTATTTTATTGTTTCTCAAATCTAGCAACTCGAGGCTAGAATTGAACTGACTATAGATTTCTTTCGAATGAATCATCACTATTTCGCTATTTCTAAGAATCAAATGCCGTAACTCTGGAAGGACTCCAAGGAAGTCCATTTGTAGATCTGTGATTTGATTATGTGAAACATTAAGGTATAATATGTGTGAAAGTTCCTCAAAGGTACCCTGTTGCAAATTTCGTATTCTATTAAACGAGATATCTAAAGTTTGAAGGCTGTGAGATTGTAGTTGCTTTCCTAGATGCTGAAGTGACGAATCTTCAATCGAACACCCAGATAAATTCAAATGTAAGAGGTAATTGAAATCTTTTAATTCCGTGGTGTTGAAATTGCTTGAACTAAGATCAAGTACTCTGACCTCTCTTGTCACATTTTCCGGATACTGACACTTGAAAACTACTCCTTTACAATCACACTGGTGGGGGCAAGGTAGGACACATCCCTTTTCCATTTGCACACATTGGGTATTGTTGTAATTGCACACATTTTCGTCTTCGTTGTTTGGACAATCATTTTTCTTGTTGCAAAACTGCTCAGCGTTAATACATCTTCCGTCGTCGCATTGATACTGTGTTTTGTAACAAGGACCCTTATCTAGAAGATTTATCAGTTTTAAAGTCAAAAAGATAATAATCACTCAATAACAAAATATTTTTTGTAACAAAAGGACTTATTATCTAAACTTTTTGTCTTAAAAATTAAATAAATGTATTTACCTTTACAAATTCCGTTTTCGTAACTGATTTTTCCAAGTCGTATAATACCAGTTAAATTAGCTTGGAATGTTGCAACAATTATTACCTAAAATCGAAACGTTGATATAGAGAAACTAAATGTCTAAATATATTTTAACGCTCATCTGGTCAATTTTTTTAAAAATATATGAACAAGCTATGTGTTTCAACATGAAACATTGACGTTGATATCATTTGAAAGAACTTAATTAATGACCTTCCATCGTTCAAATAAAAGCGAAGATTAAAGTTTGAAGCAACAAACAGACAGTCTCTACAGTTTAAAAAGACAGGACAAAAACAATATACGCCTATTAACGTCCGGGACACCGGTCATTGAGCCTTAATGTCGCTTCGTGAAAGAACTTAAAAAGTCATAAGACATAACAAATGTGATTGTCTCTATTGATTCGTTCAAAATAGAAGGTATGGAGATAAAGAACCTTTGAAGCAAACCAATACTAAAAGAAAGATAAACATATGAGTGAAAAAAACAATATACAATCAATCAATCAATCGATCCGGGCGCATAAAAAATGAAAAAATGAAATCTCTTCTCGTTGCCTTGGTATTCAAAAATTAATTCTTATGGAATATTTATTTTTAAAGGCAGAGACTTTTGGCAACGCCTACTAATAACATAGTATGTGTACCCCTGTCAATCAAATGCATTTAGGATCTTCATTGGATGCTAAAACTTGATTGACATTTACTTCCTAGGCCTTTTGATTAACCTGTTCACCTTGTTCGGTACTCATGGGAACATTTAAATAAAATATCATATGTTGTACATTTGATCCATATAAAAAAAGGTTCAAAAGAAATCAAAGATGTAAATTCGAAAAGCTGATAGGCGACAAGAGATAAACGAGGGAAAAATACCATGAGCCATTAGTTTAAAAGCTAATTCATACATAACTTTCAAGTCCATAAAAAAGAGATTTTGTCAATTTCCTTACCATATAAGGTATGTCAATAGGCGTTTGAAAGCTTGTAGTGGCAAAAAGGTTTGAATTTACATTCTGTCGCTGAAAAATAATCCTATCCAAGGTACGTGCTGTGCCTTGTGTTATGTAAACATCTAAATTGAAATTTTTCCCAGAAAACGTCATTGTTATACACCCAAACTCGGACGATGAAGGCTGTGGTTTGCTGAATAAAACGGCCCTCTCCTCCGTATTTCCACTCAATCTTTCTTTCTTTTCAGCAGAGGCAAACATTTCTCCTGTAATAAGCAAAAATATACTGAATATATATATTTACAGTCCATTTAAACATGAAAGTTGACCAATGAATATAACAGTCATCACGGTATCATAAAACAGTACAAAATAAGAGCAGACACACGGACATCCGAAAATAAGAGGTGGGATCAGGTGACATATATATTTGACCGGTCACAACCGCTGTGTTCTCTTTGTCATGAACAGGAAATAACGGAAAATCCGTCGTAATTCAGTGTATAAATAATGGACTAACAATTAGTATGAATAAATGTCAGTCGGCATTTGACTCAATAATAAAATGTATTTGCTGACAAGTTCATTGTATCGACCATAGAACTTATGAAATGATGACTTTAAACGAGACGGCTGATATTCTTGTTTCATCAACTTGCTTGTCAATAATTTACCCCGTTTTAGGAATTGTTCATACGTAGAGCAAGCTCTTGCGTATCTAATCAACTGAGATATATATACACATATCCAAAATTCTTCAGCAATATTTCACATTTAGGCTATTCAAGCCGTGGAAAATAATAAGCTGTTTTAGATGATGTTATAACAAGACTCAGGAATATTTTACCAGTGTTTTCAGCTATTTGACGGTTCCATTTAGCTCCGCTTTTCATTTGTTGCCAATCACACAAATCTTGTTCAAAGTCACAAATCAAATTCCCTATATCTGCAAAATATCAAAAACATTAATCCTAGACCTAGTCTTTACTGTTTTATTCATTAGGAATTAAGTTTTATAATATATAAAAAGGACAAAAGAACTAGAATGTAAAAGCAAATTCTCAATCGGGGTATCTTTTAGTTTATTGAAGCAGTCCTTTACTGCTTTATACAACGTTAGGTGATAATTCTAAATTAGAATTTACTTGTATAGATATATAAGAAAATCAAATTTTGTAACGATTCTCACCACATTTTGGTACATTACATTCCTCCCATTTAAACTCGGAGTCGACAAAACAACCCGGCTCTCTTTTGCTTGACAATTCGAACCTACAAGTTCTTCCCAATTCTGCCATGCATTGGTGAAGGTACTTTGTCTCTGTACGAAATCCTTTGTACTCATTTCCATGGTAACACTCTAAAGCTGTAAAAAATGGAAGATTAATTTTTTTTTCTCCACAATTTATCTGAACAAAAGAAACTCCAAAATGTGCTCACCACAATTTTCTTCGTCACTGTTGTCAGGACAATCTGGTACCATATCACAAAATCCCTCCCTAATACATAATCTGTCATCCAGGCAGGAAAAGCAATCTTCACAAACAAGAATATAAAAGAAAATCATCAATTTGTAAATTATTCATTTAAAAATATTTCAAGATTGAATTTGTTCTAAGTATAGTATACCTGTACATGGCTCGTTTTCAATCTTCATAAATTTAATAGCTGCTACTGTTGATGATCCAGCTTGTGAAGATGCAGCGATGTGTGGCGAAATAAATACCTTCAGAAGCAAAACAATTATGTAAAGACATCTGTTTTTTTTTTTAAACACTCTAGAAGATAAAGGATATGGAGATAACGAACAGTATTCCTTATCAAAGTCAATAAAACAATACAAAATAGGAGCAGAGCAAACACGGGCCTCCAAAACATCAGAGGGGGGATCAGGTGCCATGGAGGAAAAAGAAAATAAAGAGATTGTGTCAGACCTTGTAGTTATCTGGTTGAGGATGTATGTTGACTTTAACACTTCTAAACTCAGAGCTTTCTTTAAGTTTTGTCAGATTTTGTGTGGACGTCGTGAGGAGTAGCTCTATACCCTCACTGCGATAGGTCAGCAGCAAACAGGGGGCCGTTGTCACAGAGCGCAAGAGATTCGTTGTCAAGGTAGAAATAAATAACTGCGAATTAGACGCATTTTCTGGAGGACGGTTCCAACGTAAAGATCGTTCTGCAAAAGAAGTGCATTATTAGTGATATACATGTATTTTCAATGCTCCAAATTTTCATTTCTAAAATTATTTTTTTGACTTTAAAAAAAAAAACAAGTATGTACCTTTGAGTACTTCGTTTTAATGATTTAAACGAATTTTTTAAACTTTATTGAAATTACGAATTAACGAAACAAAAAAAAACTCACACTGCTGAAGATATGAATGCTTTGATAAGCTAGAAATAAGATCTTTTATCAGCCTGATGGAAATGTTAATTAATTGTAGGGAATAATAAGGTTTAACGTGTAGTTAGTCATAACAAATCTTCTAACGATACAAATCTTCAGCGATATATTCATGAATGTTTTGTAAGTTGTAACTGGCCAACAGTATAATTACTTTGTTCAGAATCACTCTGATTCTACACACAAATGCCTTGATGTCTTGAAGTTGATGTTGGATATCCTCAATAACTTTAATAAGGTCTTTGGAGACCAGACCTTCCATCAATCTTTTGGAAATCCGATGGGCACTAATTATGCTCTATATTGATCCGACTTGTTTTAATATTCTTTTTTTAAAAGCAGAAGCTTTCATAAAGTTACATTGTTAGCATTTTGAATAAACGTTTGAATCAAGTTTTTCTATGTTGCCCTCAACTATGATAGATTTTCAGATGTATAACGGAAGTGAATGTTCAATAAGCGCATAGAGAGGCAGTTGTCAAGGTAAATTAAATTTTAATGTCGAATCAGAATAATATTTCTAAAATTTACGTTTTATTCAAGCGTAAAAATAATGTTTGAAAAGAAGATAAGACAGTTATCTTTAAATACATGTATTTTCAATGCCCAAAGTTGTCATTTCTTAATTTCTTTTTCAGAATAATGATTTTAAAAAAAAGCAATATTCCCATGATTGTGAACTGTGTTATATTTTGTAAGAATTATTATATAAAATGATAATATTGCTTATTAATCAAATTTTATTAAATAACTTTTTTTTCACATGAGAAATCAAGTTTAAGAGGAAGACAGTATCGATGATATTTTTTTCTTCAATCACATGTATATGTGTTATTTCAAAATACAACATGATTTAATTTATAAATTATTTTTACATTATTCAAATTGCAAATTAAACAAAAACAGTACAACTCATATTGCTGACGATATGAACTTTTTTTAAATAAGTAAAACAAAAAATAAGATCACTTTTATTATATATTTTCTTTAATTCAGCCGGGTGGAACGGTAATTAATTGTAGAAAATAATGAGGTTTAACATTTAGTCACTAATAACGAATCTTCTAAAGATATACATATGAATGTTATATACGTTGGAACTGGCCAACAGTATAACAACTTTGTTCAAAATCACTCCAATTCTACACAAAAATGCCTTGATGTCTAGAAGTTGATATTGGATATCCTCAATAACATTTATAAAGTCTTTGGAGACCAGACCTTCCATCAAACTTTTGGAAATCCGATGGACACTAATTGTGCTCTATTATTGATCTGACTTGTTTTAATATTCTGTTTTAAGCAGAATTTATTTATAAACGTCTACATGAGAAGACAAGTAACAAATAAATTGTATGATAAGTAAAATTACATCAGCTTTTCTATCGCCAGTTTTTCTTATTTACATGTATGTAGTAATATTCTGTCATTACCTGCGTATGGTGTTCACATCTCCTAACTTATTCCAAACTTGTAGTCAAGAACCTGCTCTGAGTACAACTAATTTTCAAACTAAACAGGGTACTGAAAGATAAGTTAATGTTACAGGGATTTAAACTACCTCATTTAAAGACAATGGATGTATTTTGCCTGATGATATTCCTACCTAATGTTAAGCCTCCTTTTAATACTAAATTTGAGCACAGAATAATTGATAGATAGGGTTCACGGCGGATGTGACCGGTCGACAGTCGATGCTTAATCCTTCCGGTCATCTTCAGATATCAGGGGTTCCGGGCTTTTATATCCTGTTCTCAAATTTGTATTTTTTATAGTTATTTTTAAAGATCGATCGCGGTTTTGTTCATGTTTTTCGTTCTTAACATTTTACAATACATACCATTCTTGTTCAATAGCCAAGTCATCCCTGTATCATTCGGTTGTTCTAGACCACACATTCCTCCCGAGAAATCACACTGAAAGGACGCTACAAAATAAAAGTAAAGATGACTGATATACTGAGCTGATAATAATCGCATATTTGCTCTACGTGGAACAATAAAAAAAATCTCGATTTATTTTTTTATTACAAGGCTTAATTTATTTATCATATCTTTTTAGATTAAATAGTTTTGTTTCTAAATTGCAGCTTCGATTGCTGGAATACAACTCATATTTATATTAAATTGATTTTTTCCTATATAGAATAAAAAATTTGCCAATATTTATGGTCCATAGAAATTGATTTTGATATATGAATGGAATTCATATTTGAAGAATAACATGACTCCTGAATTTGTGACATATCGTAGTTAATGCAGCTCTGGGTTTGAATTATTTTATTGACTACAATATTACTACAAATTGATATGTTTGTTAAAAGCTGGTGTTTTTCTACAATTGAAATACAACCCCAACCCCCCAACCCCCCAACCCCCAACCCCACGGTATCATCATTTCATCATTTTATAAAAATCTTCAGTGAAGAAACTTTTGTCAGAGTTCGCATAAGTACATCGGGCTGACAACGCTTTACAGTATCCATACATGATCGTCTATTCCAACCCCTTTTATCTACACAATGTAGGAAGCAAAGTTTTCATACAATGCTTTCAACTGTAAGATAATTACCTTTTTACCTTGACTTATCTTACAATAATTTAATTTAAGTTGTGACTCGTTATTTGACGTATTTCTCCGCTTGACGTGGCTTTTAAAATCTGTCTATATGTTTGTGTGTTTTCCGGAGGAAAAACTTTAACCTGTCTACACTGAACTTTTAAATAATATGGTAGAAGACTTTTCCAACTTTTGTTATGGATATGAATACTTCACTGTTTATGCTCTTTCAAATAAACCAAGGTCATATGACAGTTATATCGTATAACAAAAATTGAAATAAGCTTCATTCCTTAATTGTTGTACTGACAGTTTAAACAGAAGGGTATATCACAGGTCTGCCAGCGTACGTTATCTTACATTTTTGTACTCACAGTTTAAACAGAAGGGAATATCACAGGTCTGCCAGCGTACGTTATCTTACATTATTGTACTCACAGTTTAAACAGAAGGGAATATCACAGGTCTGCCAGCGTACGTCAGGATTCACGGTGTAGCACCAGGGGGAAGGTCCACCGTCAGGTGTGGATCTCCAAATCATTTCAGATATGACTGTCCACAAGGTTATAGAACTCAACAAAACGCACCAGCACAAAAGAAATATTCATATAGTAAAAAGAAACATCCTGTACAAAACACATTCAAATGCATCACATCTTACAAAGCTCAAGTTGGTGTAAACCAGAATGACCCTGAGGCTGGAATGTACGTGAAAGCTATCATACAGGGGATTGAAGCGAATTTGCTTGTTGACACGGGAGCAACACTATCAGTACTGTCAAGTAAAGTTTATGAGGCTATACAAAACAAACCAGTTTTGTACAAAACCAATCAAATAGTCTCTTCCGCATGTGGGACCGACTTAACTGTGAAAGGAAAAACTAGCATCTGCATTAATCTGGGTGAGAGTTTTTATAGCCAAGATGTCATCGTAGCAGATTTTTCTCTTGATGGAGTCATTGGACTCGACTTTATGAAGAAATACAATTGTACAATAGACATAGTTAATGGGTATTTTAAGGTAAACGACAAAGTTTACAAAGTTGATTTCTTTGGCAAAATCGGTTGCTTTAGAATTAACTCGAAAGAGATGATTGTTGTTCCTGCAAGAAGTGAGATAGTGACTTATTGTAAGGTCTCAATGCCGTCAAAATCCTACGACATGAAAGAAGTTTTAGGTATGATAGAACCATCGGAGAAGTTCCTCAAATCAGGAAAAGCATTAATAGCAAGATCAGTCGGATATGTAAAAGATGGAGAAATACCAGTCCAAATGATGAATCCATCCCTGAACATCAAACAGTGTATCCAGGAACATTTATTGCAAACATGAGTTCAGTTGACAATGTTTTTGAACCAACCTCTACTGTGAATAAGCCATGCAAAGATCTGCCATCTCATCTGCAGGATCTGTTTGTGAGATCTAAAGTTAATCTAAATGGTGGTGAAATACCTAAATTACAGAAGTTTTTGGCTAGGTATGCAGATATATTTGCGAGGTCAGACAGAGACTTGGGACGTACTTCACTGGTCAAACACACGATTGATACGAAGGATGCACGCCCATTGAAAGAACCTCCCAGGAGAATTCCACATCATTTACAGGATGAGATGAACAAGCAATTAGATGACATGCTTGACAGGAAAATCATAGAGAAATCGAATAGTCCATGGGCATCAGGAGTCGTTTTGGCCAAAAAGAAAGATGGTTCTTTGCGATTTTGTGTGGATTACAGGCGTTTAAATGCATCTACAGTCAAAGACGCCTACCCACTTCCACGCATCGACGACTCGTTAGACAGTCTTGCCGGAGCAAAGTGGTTCTCAACCCTCGACTTGTGCTCCGGGTATTGGCAAGTTAGCATGGATGACTCAGATAAACTAAAAACGGCATTTGCAACTAAACGTGGTTTATACCATTTCAATGTTATGCCGTTTGGCCTTTGCAATGCCCCGGCAACCTTCGAAAGGCTAATGGAAACTGTTTTGAGTGGCTTGCAATGGCAAATATGTTTGGTGTACCTAGATGACATCATTGTTATCGGAACATCGTTTACCAACATGTTAGAAAATCTTACACAGGTATTTGATAGACTGTCATCTGCTAACCTGAAACTGAAAGCAAGAAAGTGTCACTTGTTTCATAAGACTGTTGAATTTCTCGGACATGTGGTATCAGAGGAAGGAGTAAGCACAGATCCTTCAAAAATTTCTGCAGTACAAAATTTGTCTGTACCTACTAATCTAACAGAGGTTAAAAGCTTTTTAGGCCTTTGCAGCTACTACAGACGTTTTATACACAACTTCGCAGCAAAGGCAAAGCCACTGAACAAATTGACTGAGAAGGGATCAAATTTCAAATGGACAGATGATTGTCAAGCATCCTTTGACTCCCTTCGACATGCATTTATCTCCGCACCAATTCTTGCCCATCCTGACTTTACACAGTCATTTATCTTGGATACAGATGCTAGTGACGTAGCAATAGGGGCAGTTCTTTCACAGACACAAAACGGAGTAGAAAGAGTAATTGCTTTTGGAAGCAGAACCTTATCAAAAGCAGAACGGAAATATTGCGTCACAAGGAAAGAGCTGTTGGCTGTTGTCTACTTTACAAAGTATTACAAACACTACTTGTATGGCAAGCAGTTTTTAGTCAGAACAGATCACAGTTCTTTGAAATGGCTAATGAACAGCAAGAATCCAGAAGGCCAGCTTGCTCGATGGTTTGAATCACTGAGCAATTTTCAAATGACCATTGAACACAGACCAGGGAATAAGCATGCAAATGCTGATGCCCTCAGCCGTTTACCTTGCAGAAAAGCATGTTGTACATCTTCTGAAAGTATAGTTAATACCATAAGTAGCGCAACACATACGGATAAGTTTTCTTTGAAAACCAAACAAAACGATGACAGAGACATAACTCAACTGATCAAATGGGTTGAAAAAGGTGTAAAGCCGGAGTCATCAGAGATTGCTGGTCAAAGCAACTTCATTAAGTCTCTATGTTCTCAGTGGGATGCTCTGGTATTAGAGGATGGAATGCTATTCCGAAAGAAAAAGCACGAAAATGGCAAAGTTTCTTTGCAAGCTGTTGTGCCATACAGTGAAAGACGAACAGTATTAGGACAGTTCCATGATGAAAGGACTTCTGCACATCTTGGGATAAGGAAAACATTGGCGAAGATAAACTGCAAATACTATTGGCCAGGATTGCAGAAAGATGTTAAATTGTACATTGCTGGTTGTGAAAAATGCCAAAGGCGAAAATCACCAAATACTACTAAACGTGCCCCGATGCAAGTTGTCACTTGCGGCGCACCAATGGAACGTATTGCTACAGATATATTAGGCGAACTTCCCATGTCCAATAATGGTAACCGATATATACTAGTCGTATCGGATTACTTTACTAAATGGACAGAAAGTTTTCCTATGGCTAATATGGAAGCCGCAACTGTAGCTAAGGTGATAGTGGAAGAAGTCATAGCCCGCTTTGGAGTGCCTGGAACTATTCACTCCGATCAAGGAGTCCAGTTTGAAAGCAATCTTTTTACAGAGATGTGCCGGCTTTTGAATATAAAGAAAACACACACCACCCCGTACCACCCCCAATCGGACGGGATGGTCGAAAGATTCAACAAAACTCTGGCTACCATGTTATCAGCCTATGTCAATGAGCACCATACGGATTGGGACGAACATCTCCCATACGTAATGATGGCATACAGAGCAGCAGTTCACGAATCAACGGGTGCAACTCCAAACAAAATGATGTTAGGTAGAGAGGTCACTACACCTCTGGATATCGTATACGAGATCCATTCTGATATTAAGAGAATTCCACAGAATAGATGGGTTTGGGAGTTACAAGAAAAATTAGAAGAAGCACATGCAGTTGTCAGGAAATGACAAAAGAGAGTATAGAACGACAGAAGTGGTACCATGATAGAAAATTAAACTGGCAGTCATTTAAGCCAGGTGATAGGTTTACGTTTACTTCCCAAAACGTAAGACCGGTACATCTCCCAAATTCACGTCATATTGGCAAGGACCATTTGATATTATTGAGAAATGTTCCAATGTTACTTATAAAGTAAACTGTGGATACAGAGGTGCAAACCAAGTCATTCATACTGACAGGATAAGGCTAATGAAAGACCAAATCCTAACATCAGAACCTTTGCAAGCGGATAACATTGCAGAAAATACAATGTCTGCTTCCTCTGAAAACATTGCTGAAGATGCTGAGGAAACATATGAAAAGGAGAGTTTTCAGGCAGATGGCAAACGAAAGAGAAACAGACCAGCTTACCTAAGTGATTATGTCTCTTTCTGAATATGTAAATAAAAATGAGTTTGTTAGGAAATACTACTGCAGTTTTAAAGTTCAATGTTTTCAACCTTATCATACTTTTTGTTTACCTATGCGAGGACGCATATTTTTTCGAAGGCGTGGGTAATGTAATGATATAGAATATTGATGGTGGATTTAAATGCCTTTGAAAAAGACCAATCATATCATTTTATATTTAACCAATCAGCGCTTGATATTTTAACCAATCAGATTTTCAGAATCATCATCCAATCATTATGTATTAGAATTAGGTATAAATACAGACGCCCATGAAGATTTCGGCTACTTGGTGGTAACTCATCGCTTGGTTAACACCTCCTGGACTAGGTTCTTGGGCTGTGTCGGGAAACAACAGAATTGTTAGTTAAACCACTCAGCTCAGGAACCTAGTTCCTTAATAGTGTGTCTCAGTGACTATAGTGTCTTGGTGACTTAAAATAGTGTCTTGGTGACTTTTAATAAAAGGTGTCTCTGTGACTTTTAGGGTGTGTTTTTTTTTTTAGGTAGTTGCAGACTGTGTCGGGAAACAACAGGATTGTTGGTTAAACCACTCAGTCTGCAACTACAGTGTCATAACTTTATATCTGATTATTGGTTTAATTGTGGTTGATTCTTTTCTTATAATTCGTTGTCGTTAAGTTCATATTTGTATGCTAATCATTATCCAGGTAGGACCGAGGAAAAATATATTATAACACGAGTTTGTCTATTTTTGCCAATCCAGATTTTATATTTGTCATTGTCATTGTTTCGTCTGCAGGAAGTTGACGTAAGTTTGCTTGATTCTATATTATAACGTAATTCTTAGGAAGGAAACCTAAGCGAACTCAATCATTTATCATTTGTACATTGTAAGAACGTTACAAATTTGGTGGCAGCGGTTTTAGGAATATTACGTTTATATATTTTGTATCATTTGTTGATCTGTTATTTGTTTTCATTTTGTGGGCATAATGTAAAACATGGCTGACAAGGACATTACCGACATTGACAAAGAAATAACATTCATAGAGCAAAAGTTACAAGAGTTGAAAAATGACAGTCTAAGCATTCACAATGCTAGTTTAACCAAGGATACAAGTGCTAATAAAACAAGCACCCCAGATGTTCGATCAGATACGAAATCAAAAGATTCAGGTTTTGCATCAGGGAGATTT